CAGGCTGCGGTGACGACAAAGCAGAAGTGCAGCTAAGTGTCGAACACCTTTCCCCTCCTTCAGCTCCTGATAGGACTAGACTATAAACCCTGACCTCCGATCACCCTCAAACCCCTCCCCCTACCCCGTACTTACTGCTTGTTTGACCATGGAAGGGCTTCTTTGGGAAACTTGAATCTTTGATGCGGTAATTTTCGAGGCTGGTTCCCCAGCTCGTCGTCAGACTATGTGATATGTATAGGAACAAGTAACCGTGTCTAAAAAATCATACTAGAATTAACTAAAGTCTGCGCCAAAAGGCGTTGCATACATTTCGTCATCCTGCCGTGGTTGGCCGCGAGCGTTGCACTTTGGCCTTGAGATAAATATAGCTCGCGTCCAAATCCAGATGCCTGTTGATTCAGGCGTCATCTGAGTGCATTGCCTCCAGGCATCCACGACATTTTCTGGTTGGGCGAGTGCCAACAATCCGTATGTTCTCCCATGCGAATTTGTGACCGGTTTTCAGTGTGTGCATGGCCACCTGGGATAAGTGGTCTCATCTTCCGAGCCTTAATTGATGTTCGTGAATGCGGGTTAAGGGGCATTTCGCAGTTTCGCCACAAAAAAAACTGCATCACAACTGGGACACGGGATCTTGTAGACGACACCTTTTCTTTCAAGATAGCCGACCCCTGTCCTTAGGGTGTACAAGCTGTGAGCGTAAGGTGGTTGCGGACTGGTGTGCCACTCATATCACATATGTTCTTAGTTGTCTTTCGACAAGCTCAGACACATTTTTCACGTATGGAAGAGTTCGTCAAGTCAATGTTTTGGAAGCCTGGATCGTATTATCATTTGAAATGCCCTTCTGTTTGGATTCCTGACGCGCGAAGTTTCTCGGATACTTATTTTTGGAAAATAGTCGGAAAAGGTACCTAATTTCTGCTTGGTAAATTTCTTCATGAAACCCGTGGGTTTTGGCTCGATTTAGGGGACTGGAAACAGAACTCTTTTTGTGGCTGGCTGCTCACAAAATGTAGGATGATCTCTGAATATGTTTCTACACGATAAACTGATGTACAGAGTGATCCATCAGTATTTCGATGTACAAGGATATCCAGAAATGTGAGTTGTCCATCAACCTCCGTTTCGTATGTGAATTCAATCCCTGAAAATGTAGAATTGAGCGCCTTATGGAGAAGGTCTAAGTGATTACGCATTTCAACTTTTGATACTCTACTCTTCCTATGGTTACGGTGAAGATATGATAATGAATAATCAAAAAGCGTAGGTTTGGCACACTTGACGTCTTAAATGCTTACAGGGATACAATCGCTAAACACACAGAGCCATTGAAAGAAAATGAGCAAACTGACTGAACAAAAGTGTTGACGGGTAGAAATTTCCGCAAACAACTGTTCGGTAGACGTGAAGTGTTATTCGGGCAACGTATCAGTTTGGAAGTCCTTCGCGCGGAATATTCGACCGTGTTTAGCTGGTAAAATGGACTGTATGGATGCCTAAACAAAGTACGGGAATAGGAACGCCCCGCCCACTTAAAAAAGTTGGTCACGCGATAAATTTCAGGAAGAGTAAATATTCCAGAATATAAAATGGAACCTCAACCCCACCGTAAACTTAAATTCCATACTGACTTCGTAACTTACATACTAACAGCCCGGGTACTATCTAAAAGACGCAGTGTTTCGCCGGTAATCTGCCGCTGGTTTCGCTGTATATCCCGCGGGAGTCCCCGCGTTGCTTCAACGCGGTGAACATCGTCGAAATTGACGGTTGCACTGTGGGTCTCTCAGCTTTCCCTGTTTGTGTATATCACGCAGTGACTAATGGATTTTAGCCCAAAATTTACGCTCCAAATTCAGGTCTATGCCCATAGACCTTTACCGCGAAGAGAAATAAATTTCTAAGGAGATTAAAAAGCTGAACTTAAATCCTACAGTAAACACGAATCCCAGACCTTAACCCTTACCGTATTTGATCCCAATTTTGACCTTAATCCCAACCTTAAACCTACACTTAATTCAGAACCCTCGCCCTAATCCTAAACCTAATTTGTCCGGAATTTTGCGCAAAACCACAGGCGATTCCTGTATCCGTGTCCGGTTTAGGCGGCCGTACAAGTCATACGGCCAGAATTGTTTCGCGAGGGACAATTGATCGCATTCAGTGTTTAGCGCTGATGATATGCATTATTACCCACTTCCACCTCTGAAATATT